TTTTTTAGGTCAATAAATATCCCCATCGTGTATTTCTTCTCATCCATAGCACTTGTAATGTCCTCCATCAGGTCGGTAATGGCCAAAGATGTCGATCGGTTCGACCTAAAACCATATTGGCAATGAGAGAGGATTTTATGTTTGCCAATAAATGTATCTAATCTATTATTAAAGAGTTTTTCCAGAATTTTTAAAAATTGTGACAACAGAGAAACCGGTCTATAATTTGTGAAGTTGTGCTTATCACCAGATTTATACAATGGAATAACCTTTGCAATTTTCATATTGTTGGGGAACTGCCCAAGTCGAAACGACATGTTAAAAATATGGGTTAATGGTTTGCATATCCCCTCAATTACCCATTTAACAGTTGTCATAGTTGTTGTTCTCCTGTATCCCTGCGCTCTCTATCCCACACTGGCATTTTAATGTTGTCTTTCTCTCACTTTTATCTCTTTTTTTCCTTACGTCTCTCTTGCTTTTATTTTTGATCCATCTCCATTTCTTTGTCTGCACTTCTCTCTCCATTAATTTCTATGTTACCCTTTATATACCCCACTACACCCACACACACTGTTTGTCTCTCTTGCTCTTTCACAGATCCCGGTGCAGTTGTAGAGACTCACAGTGCAGTACCATATGCAGTGATAGGTGGTGTTCTGGCACTGCTGGTCTTCACCGTCATCTGTGTCCTCATTGTCACCATCTGGTGCTCTGTCCGACAGAAAGGTAACACATGCAAATGCACTCACAAAAGTTTCATTCACAAGCAGTGGACACATCTTTGGACCTAGATTATTTTAGCACATTTTTGCATGTATGTTTCTTTTTTCATCTCCCCCTTTTTGGCAAAATATGCTGTGAAAAAAAATTGCAGAGGTCAGTTACACACAATGTTTGAAAAGAAAATGAGCTGTAAAATTGTCAGGCCAAAGCAGATAGGATGGGACGCTCCTCTTCATTCAGGCGCAGTCCAAGATGAACGACCTTGGCCAGGATAGCTGAGGAGATAGGGTAGGGTGGGAAATGTAGGTGTGGTCCCCATGTTTATGACTGTATGTTAGTATCAAGGCTCATCTATTAAAAGCAGCCTCGCTGTGTTCCCTATCTATTTAAGTGCCCCTTTGCTGGCAGCATTTGACTGTGCACCACAGCTGCCAAGAAATAATATGGGAACAGTGTAGCAGGCCACAACCAGCCATTACTTACCCGCCGTCAGTCAGCATTCAGTATGGCTTGACCACCAATCAGCACGAAGACAGGACCATTACAGCCAATCAGTGTTGAGACAGGGCCATTAGGGCTTAGTCTTTGGTCCACCATGACTGTCAGCATGCCAGTCAACCTCTGCAGTAAGGAGAATGAGTGTGTCACTCACCACTGGACTGAAAGGACACTCTAGCAGGAAGATGACTTGAAAGGTTCTTGTTCCCTGTAACCTGCACTCCACTGAATCATTAATCTTATGAACTTGAAGAGTGTTAAAAAGTGTTTGATGAGTTTTCTGAGTGATGCACACCTGCCATTGTTCTCTTGCATCTAACCCTCCCTCTACCCTTTTCTGCCAATCTCTTCTCCCTTTCCTGTCTTTTATCCTCTATTATCTTCTCACCTTCTCCTTTTCTGCCTTTTCTATTTACACATTCATACCCTACCCTCAATTTCTGCCGGTAGGCTCATATCGTACCCGAGAGCCTATTCTTGCTTGGTATTAACCTAACAGTCAGTTAACTAATGTATTAATCAGTCACAGGTATGGTACTCAGTGATATAAGCACTGATTTGTTTGATAAATCTGCATGGCGCTGCAATGATCATGACGCTTTGCCGCCTAACCTTCGCCCTACAATCTCCCTCTTGCTCTCTCTCTCTCCCCCTCTCCCTCTCTCTCTCTCTTTCGTTGCTCTGTCTATCTTTTTATTTAGGTTCCTATCTTACCCATGAGGCCAGTGGGTTGGATGAACATGGCGAGGTGCAAGAGGCCTTTCTTAATGGGAACGACGCAAGCCAGGGCAAGAAGGAGTACCTACTGTAGCCCTTCTCCTTCCCTATCCCCTCCTCTTCTGACCTCATCCTTCTATCCCTTCCTCTCCCTATTTCCCTCCTTATATACAGTACACACACACACACACACACACACACACACACACACACACACACCACGCCATTAACAGGCGGCCTTCTGAAAATGACTGTATACACATACTGCACATAACCAATCATCCCGATCCATTCCACCCCATATAAACCCAGACTGAGATAAAGAGAGCCTATTGACCCACCAGCCAATAACAACTGTGCCATATATTGTAAGTCAGAGAAACTGGGGAAAATGGAAAAAGTGGGATGGGGGCGGGGGTGTGAGGTGAAAGTAGACAATAACAAAATGATGCCATAGTTATTTTGATCGAGAGGGAAGCAGGGAGTACAAAAGAAACGGGCACTCTGCCCATGCAGCCACCATAGTGGAAGGGGAATTAGAGGCAGGTGATGGCTATAATTCTATACCTGGAGAAAACCATCCTTTTCACAAAGCTCAATCTGTAACTGGCAGAGACAGTGGGAGCAGTGTGTAAGGAGGGAGGGGGAACTGATAGAGGGAGGAAAGTCAACCATGAGCTATTGAGCACTCCGCACTAGAAATGTTAAAGTTTTTTTTAAAGTATTCCGCACACAGAGTACAACTCATATATAATTCCCTAACAACACTGAAGTGTGTAAGTCCAGAATCCCTCGAAGTATCCATACTTTATTAAGAAGATAAATGTCCTGTTTTGCTACCCCTCTTGAGCGGTCTGCCAATAATTTGTTTAGAAAAAAACACTAAAGGCAGTTTTTTTTCCTCTTGCTGCAACAGCGAGAGAAAGGTGGTTCTCTTTTATTTTACTTTGCTCTCCATCTCCTCCTCTCCATTCACCTGTTATCATCCTCTCCCCACCCCCTTGCATCTCTCCTTCTCTCCCCTTGTCTGTCCCCCTCTCTCACTCCTCCTTTGTTGGCTCCTAATAATGAAAGGATTAGTGTTGGGCTTCGTTCCCGACAAGAAGAAAGGAATATGACTTGCTAAGGCATTAAAGAAAAGCTTAATTATATTAGAATGTCATTAAGAGGATAAAAAGGTTTAAAAGTCTTAATAAGAAGGGCAAGGGGAGTGATAACAAAAGGAATGACTGAACATAAAATGGATGGATATTTTCTTCTGAATGCTACACATATGCAGATACATGTACACATTCATCCGTACAGTAAACATGTTGACAGAACAAGTATACATATCTCTGAATTCCTTATTTGTATAAAAAAAGAACAGCAACATAAATGAAACTTTTAAGAAACAAGAACACAGTTTACTATTGAAACGCATTATGAAGCAACTATACTAACACAGAATATTAGCCTATAGAGGTGCAAAGTCGAACAAACTACTGTCCAGTGGTCTTTAAAGAAAATAAAGAAAAGAATAAAAAAAATGAATTTGTCTTTATGAGAAACCAGAGGTCTTATTGATTTTTTAATTAATTATTATTATTATTATTTGAACAATTACAATTGTTGTTACTGTTATTATTATTATTGCTGTTGTTATTATAATTGTAAATGTTAAAGAAATGTACACTTCCCATGGTTTGTTTTTTGTTCTACTGTAGAGAAATTGCTGTCTTTTTTCACTCTTACCTTTCCTCTCTTTCCAAGTCTTTCTCTCTCTTCGTCTCCTGTGCCTAGTCCTCTCTTCTCCTGTCTTTCACTCTTGTTTATTTTAGAGTCCATGTGTCATTGTTGATATATAGCTAACTATTTCTTTATAGGGGAAAGATACAAAGCACGACAAAATAAAAAAGAATCCAAAAATATTCCAGGGGATCGGATTGTTTTTGTTTGTCTGTCTGTCTGTCTGCTTTCTTTATGTTTACTGTGTAATTTGAGGGTTATGTTTTTGAAATCCTATGAAAAGAGAACAGGAGATGAAGCATGTGACTAGGTCAGTGAAGAATAGCAGATTTGTAGGTGGAAAGATAAAGATGAAGGCAGTGCAGCCAGTTTAAACTGGCAGCTCATTCGGAATAAATACAATAAACAGAACAGAAGGTTCTGTGGCACCACTAATGACTCATAAGAATAGATAGTGAGGAAGAAAGGGTGACAAGGGAGTTGAGTCAGATGCGCACAGAAAAATATGACTCTGCCATTAACTTCCACGCAATCAATACCCGATGCTGGTGAGAAGCACTCCACATGTCCATCTGTGTGCAGGACTAGATTTGAAAGCCGCCGGAGGTCGCGGGGTGATAGATCGATGTGTTTGTCTTCCATCGATGGCAAGACTCCATGGTTGCCTGTCATAAAGACAGATTGTCAAATGGCAATCAAAGTAATGGATTTGCCAGGTGCTACCATCATGAATTGACGCTCTGGCCAAAAAACAGTTCACACACTCATATACACAAGTCGACGCCAAACATATCCTCAGTTTATGATGATGCAAAGGTAGCACAGAGAGCTCCTGCTATCAGACCCACTGTGGTCGATGGGAAATAAAACTGAGAATATTGTCAGTTTGTATGTCTTCAAACAGAAGTACATGACCTTCAGATGAAGGTTTGATTTGATTTGATTTGATTTGATTTATTCTTTCAAGGATGTAAAGACAGTTGATATGTCAACACACATAATTTTACACATATCCAACAAATGCTAATCCAATATCAATTTGCTTATACCTAGTACATGCTTGAATGGAGTAGGAAGAAATCAGACTTATCCAGTCCTACCCCATGACATCATCTTACCATCATTGGTTTGCAAGCAATAAATGATTCACTTCTATTCTCTTCTACACCACACAAGTAATATACTAAAAAAATTATAACAGAGTGTTAACATTCTTACATAATTACATTCTTAAATAATTATCTTCTACACCACACAAGTAATATACTAAAGAATTATTACACAGTGTTAACATTCATACACCACACCCACAATGTTCCATCTAATTAATCATTAAACCTGTTCTTGCATATATCTTGATTGACACATACCTTTATATTTATGTTTAAACTCATCAATTCTAGTACTATTTTTTATGTCTACACTTAAATTATTCCATAGTTTTACCCCACTTATAGAAATACAGAATCTTTTTTTGGTTGTACGTATAGCATGAATTTTTAAATTTAACTGACCCCTTAAATTGTATCCCCCTTCCCTTTCATTAAATAGTTTTTGAATTCCACCAGGTAATAAATTGCTCCTGGCTTTATACATAAACACTGCAGTCTTTTATCCCACTAAATCAAAAAATTTTAACAATTTAGACTGTATGAAAGCTACATTGGTGTGATCCCTATACCCCATCTTATGCACAATTCTTATCACTCTTTTTT